TTAGAGTAGTGATAAATTAATATTGCAAACTCTAGGGCAAACACTAAACAAGTAAAAAGTAGTATAACTGATATGCTAAGAAAGGAGAGAAAGTGAAATCATTTTATAAAATGCTCGATTGTAAACACAAAAGACAAAAGTAGGAACAGAGAAAAGGGCAACAAGCAGAAAACAGTAACTAATATGGCAAATCTTAATCCAACTATATCAATGATCACTTTGAAGATCAGTGATATAAATATACCAATTAAAAGACAGAGATGTCTGTGTGGGTCAAAAAACAAGATCCAACTATAGGATGTCTACAAGAAATCCACTTTAAATATAAAGACACATACAGATTAAAAGTAAATGGGTGACCAAATATTTAAGGAAGAAATTATACTAATTCTTTACAATCTTTGTCAGAAGACAGAAGCAGACGGAAGACTGTGAAGCTAGTATCACCCTAAACCAAAATCAGAAAAGACGTTACAAGAAAGCTGCAGACCAGTATCTCTCATGAACACAGATACAAAAATCCTTAACAAAATATTAGCGAATCAAATGTAGAAAAAGAATTATACACTATGACCAGGTGGAATTTAACTCAGTTGTGCAAAGATGATTCAACATTAAAAAAATCAACTAATGTGATCTATCATCTCAACCAGATAAAGAATAAAACTAACATTATCATATCAATAGATATAGAAAAAGCATTAGATGAAATCCAACACCCATTCATCCTTGACAGGGACTATTGAAAAAAAAAAAAAAAAAACCCCTACAGCTAACATCATACTCAATGATGAGAAAATAAAGCTTTCCCACTAAGATCAGGATCAATACAGATGTCCCCTCACCTACCATTGGTTCCCTTCCTTCCTTCCTTCCTTTTTTTCTTTCTTCTTTCTTTCTCTTTCTTTCTCTCTTTCTCTTTCTTTCTTTCTCTCTCTCTCTTTTTCTTTCCCTCCCTCCCTTCCTCCCTCCCTTCCTTCCTTCCTTCCTTTCTTCTTTTTTTTTTCACAGGGTCTTGTTCTGTCATCCAGGCAAAAGTGCAGTGGTGTGAACATGGTTCACTGGAGCTTCGACCTCCTGGACTCAAGTGATCCTTCCATCTCAGCCTGCTGAGTAGCTAGGACCACAGGTACGCAACACCATACCCAGCTAATTTTAAAAAGGGTTTTTTTGGAAAGATAGGTCTCCTATGCCCAGGCCAGTCTTGAACTCCTGGGCTCACATGATCATCCTGTCTCAGCCTCCCAAAATGCTGGAATTACAGGCATGAACTACTGCACCTAGCCATACTATTCGTTTTCAACATCATACTGGAAGTCCTAGCTAATGGAATAAGACAAGGAAAGCAAATTAAAAGTGGAGTGATAGGAAGGAAGAAATAAAACTGTCTTTGTGGTAAATGACATGATTGTCTATGTTGAAAATCTGAAAGAATTTCCCCCAAACTCTTGGGATTAGCCAGGTGTGGTGCCTCATGCCTGTAGTCCCAGCTACTTGGGAGGTTGAGGTGGGAGGATTACTTGAGCCCAGGAGCTTGAGGCCAGCCTGGGCAACACAATTAGACTTTACCTCTTAAAACAAACAAAAACTTGGGCCGGGCGCGGTGGCTCAAGCCTGTAATCCCAGCA